CTAAAAAGTAAACAATCAATCTATCTGCGCTACGACCGGTTGTATTGTGAATTCCTGCAAGGCTCTGAGTTCACGTAATCGACCCTTCGCGTTACAGGCTCTTATCATACTACGTAGAACTTAACTTGTTGCGATAGATTTAAGATCAGAGTAAGTGATTACTGCGCCTTTCTATCTTATTTTTGACTCCTATTATTTACCGATGAAGTAATCATGCTTTATTACTTGTTCAGATGCCCCAACTGTCTAGCGGAAATTACGTTTAAAACGGATCTGGAAAATTGCGACTATCAGAATGTGAGTGTATGCTATCAATAGTTTCATAGAATGGTTTTTCCTGCTAGAAAATAGAAATCTCGCAACAATTATTAATGATTGAAATTGTTTTAAGCGACTTTTATAATTGCCATTCTTCGTTTTACGTGCTTAAAGGAATATCTGACAGCAAATAGGTTTCATTTGTGTACTAGTATAAGTGTACTTTAATATTTTTTGTTATGTACTGTAGAGGCAACGCGTTCAACTTATTCAAGGACTAACTGGTAATAGTTCTTCAGGAGCACGGAGCCACTCGATTATTCGAGGCCATCAAGCTCTACCAAGATGCGGAAAAGGCAAAGGAAGCCCAAGAAGAGGAGGACAAGAAGGACCCTATGAAAATGCTTGAGAAGCGGACCATGATGAGTCGTGCCGAGATGGAAGCAATGGGTAAGCAAATTGGAGAAAACCGGCTTCCCTTTTCCCCAAATTTAGCATTTTTCTTTTATTTGTTATTTAGGAAACCTTGAGGATCTGCAAGAAATTAGTAGACATAAAGAATCTGTTGACGTCGACCAATTTTTGGAAGCAACGAAGCCGGAATTATCGATAGCTGAACAAATAAAGTTGCAAGAACAGGAAGACGAGGAGTTCATTAGGTAACTTCTTGCTCCCGATTTTTGCGGAATTTGCCATTGTTATACGTGTTGTTTTGCACAAGCCATATACTCTACTTATATCATCTTTCC